TGTAGGTATCTGAGGTCTCACAGTAGCACAGTGCCAGGGGCCCTGCCCTACATGTATATAAGCCCATGAGGATCTAAGGGAGAACCTTAGATTCATTATTCTATTGCATGCGGCCTAACAAGCCAATTCACCCCTTTGTTGTGAGCATAAGGCTAAGGGCCCTTTGAGCCCCTTTTCCAGACTGCATACCACTGCGCGCGTCCTCAGCCTAGCTCTTGTGGCAGGCTTTTTATGTGGGATCATTTGTGCAGGTCACAAAAGCAGACTTGCCCTTAATTGGGTTAAGTGCTTTGGTGCTTTGTGACAATCAGTGACTCGAAGGCTTTCTTGTGCTCGTACATCTTGTTTCCGAGCACATTGTAGACCTTGGCGACTTCAGTACTGACTGTGAGCTTCATTGCCACAATAACCCATTCGCGGATGTGGTCCGGAACTTCTCCGAGAGCAGACTGTCTGAGCACATCTTCTAGATGCTCGAACTGGTGTCCGTCAAATTCCCAGATGGAGGGAACATAGGTGGGTAAGAGTGATGGGGTTGGGGACGCTGATCCTCCAACTTGCGATGCAGAATCCTGTGGTCCTAGTGCAGGCTCTGGTGAATTGCGCTGTGAGGCACGTGGGGTGCTTTCGTCGTGTGCTGACTCGACGTTTGTATGCAGAATGTCATCCATTCTTTGCCTGAACATGGATGCGTACGCACGATCGGCTCCTTCCATTGTGATATAGATGTAGTTAAACTAATTGAAAATGAAGCCTAGATACTGCTTGTCCTTGACTTTCCCAATTTCCCTGATGATCTCGTCTAACCTCTGCTGCTTCCCTATCTCTTTGAAGTTGATCCTTCCTATTTCTAGGCAGCACGTGTTGATGACCTGTTTGTCGATGAAGGTGTATTCGTGAGTTCCCATGTAGAGGTCTGCGCAGACTTTGTCTAACTCCGATGCGAGGAGTTGTACCTTCTTTCGTTTGTCCTGATCAATTCTCTCCCAGAACGCTCCTAATATTGGTTGTAGTCTGAAGCGGGTAGCGGAGACCTGCTTCTTGAGTGTTTCGATGTGAAGGGTGAGCCTGACTTTGGATGGAAGAGGGCGAATGGGTCGTGCGTGTGTGTTGACCTTAACGAAGTTGGGAAGGGGTCGCACTGGCTGTGGAGCAACAATGATGGGGGGAACAGCGTTGGAGGTTATAAGTTCTGGGGGCGGTGCTGGCTTGCGACTACCAGTGGTAAGACGTCCCTTTCTGGGCTTGTAGCGTTTGAGCGGTGGGGTGTGATCACGTGGCTTGCGGATGATTCTGCGCTTTATGATGTGTGTGGTATCTACAACCCTAGCTGCTGCTCACTGCCTGTCTGTGGATGATGCGCCTAGTGACGCAAGTGTGAGGAGCCTTCCACGCTCCTTGTTGGTTTCCTGATGCTTATAGTGGGCATCAAGGTTGATCCTGGGAATGGCCTTGCGCTTTGAGGCTTTGGGCAGCTCAGAGTCTTGCTGAGGCTCACGCCGGGTAGAGATCGGATTGGAATGTGTGTCAAAAAAGCCGTGCACTACGGCTGAAACTGCTTGTGCTGAAAATACGTGGCTGCTTGTGTTAGACACTAAGCAGGGGTGCAGAAAATGTCAGATTGTTTCTAATGTCACGGTAACACCGGACAAGAGATCAAAAAGACTAAAAAGGGACAGTCACGTGGAACGTGCCGCCCTGATCCCCCTGATCCCAAAAGTATCCCCCTGAACCCTATGTGGCACAAGAGCCTGTTGACTTACTGGTCGATGTGGCAGACGCAGGAAAGGGTGAGAGATATATGAAGGAGCTGGTGAGCTCAGTGAGTGCTGTAGGTAGTAGACGAGGAGAAACAATCTGAGGTTTCATCCCCTACATGGCTGGTTTTATATACACGTACAGCGAGCTATCTTACCTAAGCTACCTATCTATGGGTATAAGCAAATGGCCGTACATGAAATAATAGGATGTCTGGAAGTAGAACAATAAGTGGAAAGATCGATGGTTGCCGCAGTAATGCGTGTGCACATCGTGCCTATCTTGGTTTCCCTTTTGTTCT